GCCGCCGCTCATTGGCCCGCCGCGGGGTTGTCGGGCTCCAAGGGCCTTGATACTGCTCTCGATAAGCGGGAGGCGTCCAATGTCGATTCGATCGATTATCGGCCGTGTCGTCGCGCGCCGGCGACCGCGACGTCCGCCGGCCGCACGCACGCACCGCCAGCCTTTACCGCACTTGACACTTTGATGACCCGCGCCGCGTCATTAATATCTCTGTGTCATCATACCACTTTATTGCCGCATTTAATAACCAAATCACCATTTTACACCAATAAAACGTCCCACAGAATTTATTAACGCACCTTAACCAAATTAAATTTTCAACTTAATCTGGCTGTAAAACGGTGCGCAAATCAAAGTTGCAATCTGCAACACTTGAAAGAGATTAGTCAGCTAATCGGGCGTTATTTACAATCCTTTATCAGCACTCGGAGGCGTTCGGTTAGACGATTTACGACACTCGTGAGTTGCCAGCACAAAAGAATTAGCCTTTCTAAGCGACACCGAGTGCCAATAAATATCGGGCGAGGTGCGAATAATCGCGGGCAACACTGTAGCGGGTACACTCGGAATTTATCCCGTACGCAGTTCCATAAAGCGTGCTTTAGTCCATAAAGTGAAATTCATAATACAAATTTAGCGTAAGGTTTCGTAGGAAAAGCAATAATTTGTCACAATTGGGCACGATTAGATTGGCTCTGCTGGCGATTTGACATAGGTCGTAAATAACGCTTCGGGCGGCCGAATTGAGTGAGCCGTCAGCCGCGCTACGCTGTGTGGGCCTTTATAAATGGTACGTGTATGCAAATAGCGCGCGCGGCTCGGCGCACGCGCATCGAATCGCGCGTTTTCCGCCGCCGGCGAGCCCGTGCGTTTTGTGGAAATCGTTATTGGGGTGATTGCTTTCATAAACAATAGCTTTTGTCCACGGGTTCTTGTAAGCGCTGTGTTATTTAGCCGGATAACGGGACCGCTCCGCCTGATAACGCACCCGCCGTTTATGCAATGTTGTTTAGAAGCCATTCGATGTTGAAAATCGTGCTTTATCTGTACCATGTTCAATTGCGGGTAATTTGTATTATGTATTTACGATATTCTCGTAATTCACCGTAACCACTGACCTATAAGTTCTCCTGCCTCATTTACAGATTTCATCACTATTTTGTAAGCTACTGCTAGATACAAGTACATACCTACCTACGTACTGACAGAGGTTTGTACAAACCTTGAATCCTAACTTACTGGAACTTTCCTTAATACTTCCATTCACTTCAGTAACCTTATCAACTGTAGGGTTTTTTCTCTTTGTGACATTGTACTACACCACGTAAATAGTTATGAACTATTTGATCAGTCCATCAATTAGATTCTCATACTACAATTTACCTGTACCTGAAGATTTATGATAGCACCCTGTCATTACTATTTATTTAGGCGACCTTAACACTAGAGTTTCACTTTATGACGATAATAACACACGTCATGCCATAGAAAAGTTACACATAATCTTGCACATCAAAGCAAGGTGCACTATCAAAAGGTGTCCAGCGTATCTTGGCACCTACGTTCTTTAAGGTGTGAATATATTTATTGAGAAGTCACAGGTCATTTTAGTGTGGGTGAAATGGTGGTCATAAAAGTCGCTATCGAGCTCAAAGCAACTTAGTAGGGTTATAAAGGTTGTCAACGTAGTGTGACGCGCGTGGGTGGCAACACCAGAGCGAATCGAGGAAATCGATAGCAAATATCAATGTTAAGAATTATTAATGATTGGCTAATTATTGCAAACTTGGACGTTTTTGTTTGTTACGAGCCGACGGTTTACCTGATGGGAAGCACTAAGTGCCACTCATGGATACCCGCAATAACGGAAGAGTTAGAGGGCGTTGCGGACCTTTCGGGGATTAGGGTTTTGGGTATTTAGGGATTGGAGAGATATCGGGAAGGATTGGGCCTCGGGTAACCTCACTCACACGGTGAAGCAGCGCCTAGGTTGTTTCTCTTCGGTTTTCTGAAAGGCTGTGGCATCATTCCGGTTGAGCCGACCCATTCGACCTGACGCATGGTTGTCCCACACTTACGTTGAATGAGTTGTACAATTTACATCATTACATAGATCAACTTAAAACTGTTATGAAAATTCGGGATAAAGTTCCTGATTTTTTGTGTCCTTTGTAAGGCTTTAGACTCGTTTCGGTTCCTTGAATTTAAGTAGTGGAATGCAAATGTCATGTTTTGCACCTAATTTTCTGCCTCACTAGTTATGTATGAGTCATCTATTGTTACATTTTGCTATCGGCTACCTACATGTTGTAAAGTAATATTGCTCTTTATGCTATCTCTTTTGTACTTGTTTAGTTTATTACTTAGCTTTAATCATTGGCTACTTGTTTTCTAGGAAACTCAATAGCATTTACGATGAGGTTAATCTCCAATATGTCTGATCTTCCATAATTTTCTCATTCATTTTCCTATCAGAATGTGAAATTTATGTCACTTTTTTTTTGGAAACTCATCAGTAATTTCATCGGCGTCAACTGTTTCTGCTTGGTAGTTGTAGTCAACACAAATGTTGACTACAACTTCTCTAATTTGGTGTATGATATGCTTACTGATAGGATCAGCTATTAAACCAAGACAATGTGGTTAGTTTTAGAAAGTAGGAGCAGCTAGGAAACCTAATAACAAAATACCAGGTACATCTAACAATACCCCGTTCTAAATACCAATTCCTGCGCATCATGTTGTTCCATTTACTGTTCAAACGTGGCAATTAATCTGGACGGGTGACGTTGCCACCCCTTCAGCCGCTTCGCCCGCGCACCCCTCCTCACCCCCTCTCCCACCCTGGCCCAGATAACCGGGGGAATGATTAACTGCAGACAGGAAGACGGATTGACAAATAGTCGTTTAGGTATTTCGCTAATGTTTCGCTCTCATCAATAAACGATCGAGGCTGTTACGTGGAAGGGTGGTTCTTGCTTTGGGTTTTCTCGATTTGGTAATGTTTGTTATCGGTTTTTGTTTGTTAATGTTGTTAAGGTTTCAACACAAATATCGAATTTCCCATTGTTTATTGCTTGAAATAGAAATTTTCGCGGATCATTTACAAATAAAATTCATCTGTTCCCAAACTTATTGATTTTATATATAAGAAATACAAATAGTGCGTTCCATAAGTATTTCTTGTTTGTTTTAGTAACACATTTGATACTTTTCAGTTCTCAGTCAAAATTTTTCGAATTTGCAAAGGGTCAATGAATAAATAACCAGACGGGAACGCACCGTGATGCCGGCAGGCGCGAACAGAGACAGCTTGTAACGCGATATCGAGCGCGAGGTGACTCTGCAGATGTAACGAATTGTTTGCAACAATCATTTAGACAATGTTGATTGATTGCCACGAAGCGTTGCTCAAACAACTTCAATTGAAATAACTTCAGATGACTTACCGATTGTTGTTCAACATTTAAATGAATTAAACGTTATTGATGATGTTCTGTTGATTTGTAATAAAGAGAATGGGTGGTTCAGTACGCACGCTAATTGATTAGGAATTTCAAATTTGATGTTAGACTTATTCATTTTCGTGAATGACTCTGACACCTTCACCCAGCTAGTTAATGGCATATAAACACTGTTGTAATTTTCTTGTGCCAAACATGTAAACATCACAAACTGACAGTTCTACTGTCTCACTGCCGTAACTAAGTGGCTAAAAGTTCCTTATAGTAAATCGCGGCGTTAGCGTTGTCGGTACGGATTCGTCACGTCATCGGCCAAGTTAACAGGCAAATTACAGTAAATCAAATAGTCACAAACTAGCCGCATACAACAAACGGGCCTGGCTTCCGTGGCCACACGGGCTGTGCTAAATCGGGGCCACTAATACTGCGCGCGCGCATCGTAAAAGCCGCGATCTGACTCGCTTGCGCCCGTAAATCATCGATCGTGCGATGCGATGCGATTTAGCACGCTCGTCTCATTGCATACTTGAAGCAAGTTGTCCTAGCAAGCGCTGTAAAGCATAGATTGACAAACTCTGTAATTTTCTTGAGAATTGTCATGTCAAGCGCTTCTTTGGCTTGATTTTATTTTCCAAAGCACGTAATATCCGACACGCAGCGTTTTACTTGTAAAGGCTTTGGTGTTGTGAGATCACATTAAGGCGTGTAATATAGTCATATAAAACGGTGATTAATGTTCCCAAAGGGACACAGGTGGTGGTGGCGATAAGTTATGGTTGTCACCATAATCAGCTTTTCTTCTCATTTTATTGTCACTAACTTTTAATACGCGGACGAAGTAGTAAAATGATATCTAAGTTGAATACTATACTTCAGTACTTCTCTTTTTAAAGAATTTTATTTTATTACGATCTTCATTTGTGACATTTACAATTTTTCGTCTAAGTACACACCTAAACCTAACGATTTCTTTTCTCTTAATTAAAAGAAAACAAACACACTATAGGCTTAAATATTGCACTAGAACGATATCAAATTCACCTAAATCCCTTTCAGGGATTTCTTCAGCTTCATCTAGCGCTGTATCTGCTCCTATATTGCCGTGGTTAGCTTTTACGACACTTATGAAGTACGCTGTAAAGGGTTTTACAACTTGCAATAGTGGGCGAATGTACTGCCCTCTTCCACTCTTGAGTTATATCATGATGAATATCCTCGTGTTTGTAAAGACTCTTTTGTTACATTACCATATATTTGCTATCCCTGATTTTGAATTGCTGCTGTTATATTTTGAGAAATTTTATTGCTGACGGAAGTACTACGTTGATGTCCCTATTACCGCAAGGTTCAAATAAACTTTTGCTGTGGTCACTTTATTTGGCTTCTTCTAATGCTTTGTTCATAGCTCTGCTTTCAATACTGTTACCATTCTCAAGTTCTTAACTAGAGCTATATTAATATTAACATTCGTTTCCCATTTAATCACTTGTGATTCGGAGTTCTGAATTTAACTGATTTCAACCATTTTTGTTTCAGGTACACCCATCAACAGACTACCGATAATGGCTAAATCAGTGCTAGATCTGTACGAGCTCTACAACCTGGTGATAGCCCGCGGCGGTCTGGTGGAGGTGATTAACAAGAAGCTGTGGCAGGAGATCATCAAAGGACTCCGGCTACCGTCCTCCATCACATCTGCCGCGTTCACCTTACGCACACAGTAAGTTTATCTTAATTACCTGCATCGTCATCATCAACTCGTTTTCGTCCACTACTGCGATCTTCAGTTTAAATGTTAGAGCTGTCCTTCAATTTCTGCTCCTGTATCGAATGACATTATTCTTTTTCATCTTCATTAGTGACAATAATTGGTACCATTTCAATGTCTATAGAGATTTCGATCTTTTTATCATTCAAATCAAAATCTTTCGGCAACGTATCTCCACAAAGTCGATATGTATTATCCTCAAATCTAGAACGTGATTGACAAAAGATATCTGTGTGGTCCAACAAGTCAGGAGCTCGCTCCATATTCGACTGGCTTTGTATCATATCCTCATTCAAATTCTCACGAGGTGGAGACAAAAGATTGCCTACAATGGCACTACGTGAGCGTTGGACAATATGACAACTTCATAATTAATAACCTTAGCTCATCTCAGCCGATATAATTTCTCATTTATCTCTCTCGGAGTTCCTTCACCCCGTCTTTTGTCGGTTGTTATAAAGGTGGTTTACGTTTATGATTCAAAATGTATGCCGGTTACGCACGAACCGATGATTTTGAACGCAGCTTCTTTTATTCCAATCTGTTCTGTATGCGCCTCGTTACGTTAATTTTCATAGTGTGTTTGGACTTGGAAATTATATTACAAACCATGTGAGAATTTTGGCCTAAATACTTATTGTGATGCTACCTAGAAAGTTGCCTATAGAAATTCACTTCCTAGTATCGGGTCTAGTATCTGTGGTTAGCCTACTAATTTTTATTGTATAGCACATTAGTCATACATTACATTTCATAACGAGACAAAAGTGTTCTAATGCCAAGGTTTACATCTAGCAACATCATAAAATTAGACAAACAGTAATGACGAATGTCGTATATATAGATCGCTTGTGACAGTTTTAGAGGTGGAGTTTTTATGACAAGGCGGCTCTCATTGTGTTACGCATTAAATATGTGACCGCTTAATATGACTTATGGAAGGTAACGCGACAATGGGGTCATATAAAATTGACAAGTTACAGAATAGGATTAGGATTGTAATGGTACGTATTATATTTGAAGGATAGACTTTTGATTGTAATTGGTGAAGGAATATGATTTATAAGGTTGTCAAGCCGCGGACGGGGCAATAAAGTTATTATTAGATTCGTTCGTTCTAAAGGATTGAATGGTGACATCTTTTGATTTATTTTCGAGTTGATAGATACGAAGATTATTTTGAATGATAATGGATTCGGAATTAGCTTTGGCGTTGCCGCTCTGACATGAGAGCTCGTCCTTCATTCTATTCTTGTTTCGTATATTTCCACGAATGCCTATTTCATAATGAATGGTTGATATATTGTCATCTTAAGAGCGATTGATAATTTTATAATGAAGAACATACATAAGTATATGTATTAATGTACCTTGTAATAACTAATACAATATAGCCTTCATATTCTCTGTATCGTTGTTGAGTCTAAAAAATACTGATAATGTACTCGTATTTCCTTTACAGGTACATGAAATACTTGTATGATTACGAGTGTGAGAAGAAGAATCTGTCTACCAGGAGTGAGCTGGATGCGGCCATTGAAGGCAACAAGCGAGAAGGGCGTCGAGCATCAGGACAGTATGATGCTCAAGCAGCTTTGGCTATGGTGAGTAAAATCATAATAGCTAAGTACGAGGTACTTCTTTGTTGAGTCTAGTTGGATTCAAATAGGAAGTTCTTATTGTTATCTGTTCACCAGATATAACAAATTAGAATTGAAATTAGTAGGGGTTATGGTCAGACTAAGTCTTGTCTATCGAAAAACTTAGCGCCATGTTATGTTTTTCTCCTGTATCGTTTGAATGTTTACTGCTATACCTATAGTAGAAATATTAGGTCTCATCCCAAATAAGGGATGTATTATGCCTTTAACGTGAGATGATAAGTCACACAGTAACAGTGAAACAAGCCTTTAAACAGGTAGATTCCTAGATTTGGTAGATATCAAACTAATTTAATAAACTCATATTCTTGACTAAGGTAAAGGTTGGAAATGAACAGGACAATTAGACATACCTACTAGAACCAAACCTAGCAAACAATACCAACTATCATCATCTAACAATTCTAAACCAGCTTATTGGTATAGTCTAGTAAGAAAACTTGCTTGATAGTGGTTCAAATAGAGAAATAGTTTCTTAACTCTCCCCTCTTCGTTTCCAGCCCCCTCTAAACCGCGTCCCCGCGTCTCTGGCGCAGCTGTCCCAGCATATGCAGCCGCTGTCACTGTCTCTGGGGGGCGTGGCCCCGCGCCTGCCGCCGCTACCGCCGCATGCGCCGCATCTTGGCCAGCACGACATCGAGTACAGGGTCCGCGAGTACATGAAGATGATACAACAGCAAAGAGAGCTTATGCGAAATGGTATGTTGGTTTTAATGTTTCTTTAATTATATTAAATATGTTTTTGTTATTTAAAATCAATTTTAACGTGAAGGAATGGTGTCTTGACGAATTTCAATGGTGATCCACTACTCACAAATTTGTTTTTCAATATATCTTTGAAATCGTTGCTTATTTGGCGACCAGTTTTATCACAACTTTTCTGGCTTCTATAATAGTTGTAGCCTTCTCTAATTTCACAGGCTCTGAATCCCCTCCCAACAACGGTCCAGCACCGATCATGTCGCCACGTGACGCAGCTGCCCTCAGTGCCATCGACGTGTCCCGCCTCACTCTCTGGTCGTTGTATAACAACAATAACAACAACAGCCCACAGCCAGACCTTGAACCACAACGGTAAGTTAGAAACTACACTAAGATGTTTTATTTTAACTAGTACACTACTTTAAAAATTAATTTCACCCAAAATGCTTCCCTGAGGAACACCTTATTTTATTTCAATACCAGTGATTCACAGCAAGTTAATCTAGCACTTTGTATTTTTTACATAATAAAGTAAATATTGAAATAAAAGGGTCCTACGCATAAGTATGCACTGGGTTCACTTAGTATTTGGGAGATAAAAAATAAACTTAAAGAAAAAATAAAAGTTTTTTTCAGGTATAAGTCAACCTACAGGTTGACACATTCTGATAATTTATTTATCCTCAGTATGGCTTACAGCGAGGCTCTGAACCTGAGCGAGAGCCCGAACTCGCTGACTAGCGGGGGCAAGCGCGAGGCGTGCCGGTCGCCCGCGCCGCCCGCCAAGCGGCGCACGCCGCGGCCAGCGTCCCGCCCCGCCTCGCCGCGCTCCGACCTGCACTCGCCGCCCGCGCACCGCCACGCGCATGCGCGCCGCGACGACTCCTCGGCCTCACCGCCTCAGGTCAACGGCGTGCCCACTACTAATGGCGTCAACGGGGCTGCTTTCAAGATCACTACCAGAGGTAAGCTTCAGCATTATTTTATTTGATATTCAAATCTCGCGCTTCATCTAGTTCTTCTTCTTACACATGACTTGTCAAATTGTAGGACATACTTCCACTACAAACTGTCATTGCCAGTTTAACAATCGTTTTTGTTTAATAAAATCAAGTCAATACCCAAACAAGAGCTTGCGTTTAAGTATCTCCTTTGTTATTATCATCATCTTTTCATTAGTAGAATAATTCATCTAACCATTGTAATTTGTTTGTCCTATAGGTGACGCGAACTCAGGAGACCACCAACTTGTCGTTTCGATAGAGCTGAACGGAGTGACGTACGAAGGCGTTCTCTTCCCGTCAGGGAACGGTCAAAACGGACACAGACAAATGGTGTCTTAAACACATTACACACACACATAAACACACTATATAGGCTTAAAAACTTTGCGATTTCAAGTGTTGAGTATTTTAAGTAGGCGAGGAAGCAAGGAAGAAAATTATTTGTCCTCGAAAATTATTGGAAACCGTTTGTATATTTTTTAATTGGCTGAATTGTTTGACAAGACTCTTTCTAGATGCTTTCATAATAAGCAGCATGATGGCCAATTGTTTATGTTTTAGAGGATTGAGCTGCAGAGTTACGAGTAATTCCAGCCAGCCATTATAAGAAAAAAGGTTTTACTAAATTGTCTATTGCACTAAAAAGGTAAAATATTTAAAATTTAGACTTATACCTACTTACAGGAACATAATCAGCCACATTACTTTTTAAAATAAACATTTTACCAATTGAGTTGAGTAACACACATGAAAAAAATAATAACAATTTCATTAAATCAATGTTATCCAATTAAAAATTTTAAGGTTAGGTTTAGTGATGAGAATGATTGCGGCGAGAGTGGATAAGGCAAGTAATGGAGTAATGTTAGAAGAAGCCTAAAAGCAGATATGATAGAGGAACTAAAAGGTTATTATGAAAGAGTTCAAAGTTAGATGGCAACCAAAGAAAAAACGAATGAATTCTGTGAAGAGAGATGATGACAGGCGTTTTTATGACAGATGACGTTTGAAAGATGGGGTCGTCCTTTGATCACGGAAGTAGAGGGAGTTATTGTAATTGAGATAATCAAGTCTCATTACATATAATCAGAGGAAAAGTCGCTTTTAAAGTTGTAAAGAGGCTAAAACGTGGTTATTGGATGACTTCTAATGAGAATGGTATATAGATAATTTGCCCACCTCCATCTATACTTTGGCTTATCCTAACTTACCTTCTTAGAATTTACGAATTGTGTCTTTGTATACGAATGGCTCAATCTTTGGAAGTTTTAAATAGTTTCGACTTTGAAATAGAATTGTTGAGGAATTTATTCTTTTGTTAAACTCAAGTGAGATAAAAAAAATCTAAATATTCATTTTACAAATAAAAGTATATAAAACAGTCATTGTGCAGATAATTGACAAGTGATTTGACAAAAATTTTAAGATTTATTGACACAAATTGAAACATAATTAATTCCAGTTATGGCTTATTCACGTGAACAATTTGCGAAAAGTTTAACTAGCTTCAAGTTATTAAGGGACTGTTATTTTAATATTTAATGTGCGACGTCACATATCCAACTGTGTAAGCCGTAATTCCAATTAATTTAGTATGTTATATAACAATATAACCAGTAATTTTAGAAAGTGTATGTTCCGGTCACTAGATGGCTCTTATTACAATCTGACTGCTTTTTTCAATACTCAGTACTTGAAATCGCAAATTTGAAAAGTACCTTTTGTTTTAAATTGAACTCATTTTATTTGAAATAAGTACAAAATTTTCACATCACAGATCATCCAATAAAGATATTATTGTGCAAGGTAAATAATAATTATTAATTAATTGTGATTAAGTTTATTTTTATTTTTTATTCTTTGACATTTAAAAGTATTTTAATAATATTTTTTATAGTTCTCAAAAATTTTACACTGCCTGATAAGAACGTTAAATTGTTTGTAAATAAGTATTTCAAAAAAATACTGAAAAGAAATAATTTAAACGTTTTCTTTAATGGATGTTTTGTATGATAATTTTAATACATTTTTTAATGATGTCGGTCGAAAAAGGATGACACTTTGTGTAAATATAGTTTTAAATTTTTATGTTATTTATAATTTGTCGGAAGTGTGATGGGTAGATGTTTTGGCGCGTCTGATTTGTTTTGCGTTGACACGAAACATATTTATGTTACGTTACGTAGTTGCAGGAGTGAGTAAACAAAATGTAAGTATGAAAAAAGTTTAATAACAACATTGTACGTGCTATATGAGTCAGATGGCATATAAGTGCCGCTCTACCGAAAAAATAGAAAACTAAATTTACCAGTCTGACGGAAACTTTAGACATATGTCACTGTCAATCCTATACATTGAGTTTTCTGCTTGGTACACAAGCACTGACGTGCCATTTGGGTCATACCAAAACTATCATGGTCATACCTAATTGCGTTTGGCAATTTGTTTCTCTATTCCTGCAGACAGAAGATTCAATTTAGCTCATTTTCACTGTTGTAGCACATTAAATTCATTTACAAACTCATTAAAGTGATAAGTGACTATGGATGATGCGTTTTGTGTGTTTATGAGCTGCAACAAATGAATGAGTAATAAAATCTTTTGTGTACCTACCTACTTGACGTATTCTTAAATATTTTTTTCGCATTGTATATTATTGTAAATAGAGATACATTTGTGTGGTAGAATTGAAGCGTTTATACACCGTTGTCGTATGTTTGTGATTCATTTCAAAAGGTGTAAATTTTATTTTTTTTATGAAGATTTCAGTATTCTGCTTAGTTTGTAGGTATTTATAAATCGTGGATAGGAACTTTGTGAAATTTGTATGGGAAAGTTGAATGTTTCCATTGAATCAACAGGAATTACCTGTTAAAAAAGTATTCGGATGCAGTTCGTGTTACATGTTTTATGATTTATAAGTGTAAAAAGCGGACAGCATTATGAATGCCAAAAGCCACTTATCCATATAAAGAACACATCGCCTTCGTTTTTAAAAGTAGACGATTATGAATGTTACTAAAATGTCTATGGTATGCGTTTTTTTTTACTTTTTTAGTACACTTCAATGGTTTCAAGTGCAGTTTTCTTTCATCAACTTTATTCTCAATAAAATTGATGAATGTGAATTGTGTTCTTGTAAAATTTCTCGAATATGAGTTTCATATAGTCAGACCATACTGTTGATGACTTTTTATTATATAAAAAAAAGGTTTTTGTGACAATCAGAATCTGTTCACGAGTAGTTGGTTTAGCATCACAACATGCCATTATCTTAGCTATCATTAAGGATTAAATAAGCGATTTCAATAATGAATACATAATTAAAGTCCATTACACCCGTGTACCTGCCGCGGATATACGGCAGCTTGCAATATAAATAAGTTATTATAACTTATAATCATAGAATATTGTGCAATCAGACAATAGTGCAATCTGGGTTCTAGTAAATTGGAATGCGGTATTCGAATCGCAAAGAGAAATATACTACCAAACTACCATTATAAATCTGGAGTCCACGAAGGTTATCCATCTTATAAAAAGCAACAGGTACCCCATTCAAATTTTACTAGAAAACAGAAAAAAAATCAGTACCTAAAATCATTGTCTATCGTTCTTAGCCATGATGAAAAAAAAACGTTTTTTTTTGTAAATGACTGATTTAATGTTTTATAATAACTTTAGTTATTTTAATGTATTTAATTTTATAATTAAATATTAATGTGTAAAATTCAATTTAGACTTAGAGACATTGATGTTGGAGATGATGTAGTTGATTAATGTAAGTACATTCCTGACAATGTACAATACTTGTTAAGATCAATATTATATACTGGCCTACTTATATACAGGTAGTTGGGCCAGGAGATTGCGCATTAGCGAATTTCTTATTACACCAAAAATTTTTGATGTATTCAATAATTATACACAATTAAATAATTATGTAATATAATATGAAGGCCCTAGTTTTATTTTAATTGATACTAGCTTATACTCGCGGTTTTCTCCGCGTGAAATAAAGCCCATCTCCTATCCATACTCCCAACCAAATAATATTTATATGTCATAAGAATGGTAAAGAAGATTGATTATATGCGATACGTTAAGGGGTTACATACAAAAACTTACTTGGCTGATTTTTCAATGGTTACATAAAAGTTATCTGGGGAATAAATATGATGCTGTCGCGTCAGAATGTTTGTATAAGACAGTAACAGCAGCAATTTTATTTCTCAGATAACATTTATCTGACTATTGAAAAATCAGCCCTTAGGAGAGTCCTAGAATTCTCTAAATTTAACCTCTGTTTTATAATATTAGTAAAACCAAAGATAATGTTCGCTAACACGTCAAATTTTTTGGTAGGAACTCATGGTTGGTAAAGTAGGTACCGTTTATACAATAATGTATTTGTAGAAGAAAATTTTACAATGTATATTCTTACAAACTAAAATTTCACGCAAAATCAGATGCGAAATATTATGAAAATGAACAGTATAACTCAATCGACAACTACGCCATCTAGCTTATCTAAGTGACACTTTTGACAAGTTACATTACTAGCGACATCTGTTTTTGGTGACCAAAACAAAATGTAGAAGTAGATTATGAAAATATGTCCGTGGCGTTCGTGACTAGGTAGTGATGGCCGTCGTTTGTTGTAAAGTTGAGGGCAAGTTGTTTTTAAATGTGTTTAATAGATGGCATTACTAGTAGCACATTGTATTACCTGTACTCCATTTAAGATTGTGATACTTACGTTTTTTTTTGTATTAAGTATTAGTTTGGTTTAGTATTAAGACAATGTTTAGATTACAAAAGTACATTATAAAAATAAATATATAAACCGACCAAAGTATGGTTTTTTATTTGATTTTCTTTTCCTGCATGACTTTAGACAGATTTTAAAACTTGATACTTCAAACCTATTTTGGCTCAATAAGTAACTCGAGAGATGATCTCTGGCCACCGTAAGCACGGGTCTATGGACGGCGATTAAGGGTAGCTCGCCGCCTGACCAGAAACGGACCCGAGCGTACGGCGCGTAGCGTTCCACGCGTGCCTTAAGGAGCCAATGAACCACCACAGACCTACAGAGCTGATGTTCAGCCGGGGTTGCGGGGCAAGCGCATTGAGGCACTGCGGCCACGGCCTCAAGCAGGAGAAGGAACGGGAGGTTTTAAGTCAGTAATAATGTGACGCTCTCTCGCCTTACCCTGGGTGGGAGAAGCCTTTAGTTTTTTTATGTAATTGGTCGGCAAACGAGCAGACGGATTACCTGATGGTAAGCAATCAGCGCCGCCCATGGACACCCGCAACGGAGGAGTTACGACCTTGCGTTGCCGACCTTTTAGGGATTAGGAATTTGGAAATTTAGGGATTAAGGAGGGATTAGGGAGGGGACGGATTCGGCCTCCGGTAACCTCACTTACACGGCGAAACACAACGCTGTGGTTGTTTTACGCCGGTTTTCTGTGAGGCCGTGGTATCACTCCGGTCGGGCCGACCTATTCGTGCCTAAGCATGGCCCTCCCACACTAATGTTGTAAGATGTAAGATGAGTTTCCCCTAACAAAAAACAAAAAAAAGTGTCTGCAACTGCGGGCACCAGGGAAGCAAAATCAAAACGTCGTTTGAGGTTTGTGTTTGGTACGTACTAAGTAGTGTGGATGTTCCAACGGGTAGGATACTTTTAAGTTCTTTTGCTAGGCCTTGTGGACCGTAAAGTAATTTGCCAACACCGCCTACTTCTTTCACCACGAGATGGTATACGAGTCGTTGATCATTACTATGGACACCGTCATACCTTGAAAGAAGTCGAGCTTGCTCATCAAACATTTATGTGAATAAGTCGCAGTACTTGATATTTAGTACCTAGTTAAAGTGAGCGAGACAATGATAGGTACATGTTGAGACCTACCTCAAGCTTCACAAAGGACATGTTGAACCCTTTATCCCCTACCAAAACTGAAACTTGTTTTGGGCCAACCCTGAACTTGTAAACTTTCTAAATTGTGCAGTTTCACGTGCGTTTATTACTCAAGGGTCCGAAATTAACATTTCAATAGAGCTTAAGTAGTTAAGTTGACCTATAGGGCGGTCTTTGATCTTTGGTCGCCGGGTTCTTCTCCCGAACGATGTTAGTTTAGGATATTGAGATTTCGGATCCGGTCATGTATGCGAGGGTAATAGCTGTGGAAAATATAAGTAATGGTAAGGTAAGATTGAATATTGATTAACGTTTGTTAATTATGGCAGATTTTGAGTTTAATATCCGACACGGTATCAATAAGTTATTTAGGTTTTAAGGAACTTATTCTGGAAAGATTATAAATATAACTGGAAAAAAGAAAAGTTAATGATACCTTGTATGATATAACAACATCTCGACCTACGCTTAAAGGGATCAAAAGGCGTGAAGTTAGATCAATTGCTTCTATTAATTCTATAGATAACTAATTATTTTTCCCAACTTTTCGGGTTAAGCTCTACGTGACATACCGTGGCTTAGCTCAGAGCAGAATTTGGAACGGGAATGTTTTAAATCAGTGATCTCCCTCAGTCTCACCTTACCCTGAGCTGGAAAAGGCACTCGACGATTGTCCACCTTAAAAAAAGGTTTCATTTATAACATTGACTACTTCGTTGCTGTGCTGCTAAGTTTTTTAAGTAAAAACTCCTTTAGGGATCATAAGTAAAGTCATATCCTCTCGCGTTCTGAAGGTGAATGAACTCGATAGGTCAGAGTACAGTACAAAGGTGGGTAGGTACACACATCTATCTTCACAAAAACCAGTATCAGGTGACCTTTGAATGTGCGAAAACATCACACGAAGTAAGACCATTATAAATTGGTTATTTATAGCTAAGTACATAATCAAAATAAATTTAACAAATACTGTTGCTAACTCACAAAATTACATTTTGTTGCCCATCCAGCTGGTGCTAATACGATTCAACCTAATTCCTAAATCCAGCGAATTATTTACGGACCTGAATCTTAACTGGTACCTACGTGTAATTAATTAAATTAGCATTTCCATTGGTGCCTCCTTGACTTGGCATCACATATATTATTTCGACTTTTTAAACTAATCTAAACTTTTTAAACTACATAGTATAAAATAATGTCAGTTCTCTGACCCTATAATAATATTAATTAGGTACTATGTAGGTAAATCGTCACTAGATACTTAGTATAAAACAAAGTCGAGTTCTCTGTATGCTAAATTTTGATGCGGTTTTTGTTAATAGAGAGAGTGATTGAAGTGGAAAGTTTATTCTGTATAACTAGCTTTTGCCCGTGATTTTTTTCGCGCGGAATTCTGACCATCTGCAGATTTTTGGTTTAAAATCTATATATCCTATGTCCTTTCTCGAGTTACAAACTATGTCTGTACCAAATTTCACACAAATAAGTTCGGTACAGTTTAGGCGTGAAGAAAAGACAGACAGACTGATTTACTTTCGCATTTATAATATTAGTTTGGATTTGTAAATGGATTATAAGGATGTGTGTCAGTCTGTCGAGCTGTCCTCGAGTGAGCTATTTGCTCGTTACTAACTGTAGATTCCAATGGAGAAGAACGAGCAAGACACTCAATGGGTTACTCTTTTCCATCAATTTCACAATTCACCTACATCATTCTGTCCAGTTCCAAATTATTTTTTTAAATAATAGTCAGAATAAAGAAGAAGAATAAATATTATTTAATAAATTTTTAGTCTTAGTAGATATTAAATAACAAGGGTCTAAGTAGAGACCCCTGGGGAACTCCTGAAGGGACTGTATGCTTGGACACAGCACTCTACATCAGCCTGAGAACGTTTTTTATGTATGATTTTTTAGATGTTATCCACTGGTATAAGCTTTTATGTATACCTGCATGAAATATTTTCTATAAAAGGTTGTGAATGTTATGATGAATACGGTCGAAACGTTTAATATCTTTATTATATATAATTCTTTTGTACGTGTGTATTTCATTGAGCTCCTCCGAAACGGCGAATTTTACTGTTTGCGTTTGAGTGGCACCCTGGGTGGTTTAGATTCACAAATCAGATGGTGCTGATTGCTTGGAAAAGCATGTGATCTCGGAAAAGGCTCTGAATATTCCGCTGAAATTTGATATGTGGGGGTTTTCGGGGAGGGTCTCTTAGTAGTCTGTAAAAACACAATCTACCAGTTGTCCATTGTCCATACTTGTTGTAGCAAAGTCGACAAAGGACAGGTTGGTAGTGGTCGAACAGTTTTTAAGAAAGGATTTCTTATCTTTTTATCTTGGGGAATTAATGTCGAAGAAAAAGTGCAGTGAACTTGCGTGTAGATGATGCGTTAAAGTAATTTACTAAACTGGCAAGTATGGGAGAGCCATGCTTCGGCACGAATGGGTCGGCTCGACCGGAGTGATACCACGGCCTCACAGAAGACCGGCGTAAAACAATCACAGCGTTGTGTTTCGCCGTGTGAGTGAGGTTACCGGAGGCCCAATCCTTCCCCGCCCCCAATCCCTCCTTAATCCCTAAATCTCCAAATCCCTAATCCCTAAAAGGTCGGCAACGCACTCGTAAATCCTCCGTTGCGGATGTCAATGGGCGGCGCTGATTGCTTACCATCAGGTAATCCGTCTGCTCGTTTGCCGTCCAATTACATAAAAAAAGGCATAACTTGGATATGGGTCTATAGTTATTAATGTCAATGTTGTTGCTACTTTTGTGTACTAGTGTTATGTACGCGTACTTCCGTATACTGGGGAGAACAAAATTCCTTTCGTAACAGGGCGCCTAAAAATAATAGTTAGAGGCTTAATCAGTCCCTTGGCGCACTTGACAATAAACGATGGTAGCATGTTGTCTGGACCCGCGCCTTTAAAGAGATCCAAAGATTCTTAAAGTCTAACTAGTCGGTTTGAATTTATTTCAATCTTACCTATTTTATGTAGTACCTATGCAGAGTAGTTATTATAATTAGAATTAAAAGAAGAACTTAAGTTTGTCGAGTTCCGGACTGACGTGGATAAAAAAATCAATTGGGAGTGCGTAGAAAAAGCATCGTTAATTTTATCATTTGTGTTATAGCAACGCCCTTCAGATGACATTATGGCTGGAAAACTGTTATTTCCCTTTTTGTTCGCTTTTATGAAGGACCAGAACATTTTTGGATTTTTTTGACCGAAGATTCTGTCCTGGAAATGTATGACGTGAAATAGGTTTAAATAGAGTTCAAAACTAATCTCAAAAAGTACATATAACTCGGATGTATGAGGAAATCATACATCAGAAGCGGACGACTAAACTTACCCTAACCACGACGTGGCCTATCAGTGCGTAGTCTTGCAGCTGAATTTACTAGTAGCACTGCATAAATTAACGCGTGCATACAGGCATTGAATGCTATTGCCGTGTCAATGAGACCGATCTAGCTTCACTGACGAACAGACTGACAGACTACTATTCTATTTTGACGTTTCAAAAGTACCTATTTATGGTTTAGTTGGAATAAATGATTTTGATTTGATTTGATTTGATTTGATTTGATCATTCCAAAGTGTGACGTAGACTAATTGATGGAGTCTGCAACTACGGCTGCTGTGAACCCGAATTATTGATGCACCAATTGGCTGCAATCTGAGAGTGTACTTTCATATCTCGCAATTTAGGCTGTATTTTTAAGATGTCAACGAAAAAACCAACTAACCATCACTATCAACTAAAAACTACATTTAATATGATGAAGGAAAACATCGTGATGAAACCTGGACTTGATATTTGGAATTATAAGTTTGTAAACGACAATCTGCGTTGAGCAAGCGTGGTGTTTAATGATCAAACCATCTCTATGTAAGAAGAGGCCTTTGCTCAGTAGTGAGCACTTATAGGCAGATGATGATGATGATGATGATGATGAAATAGGTACTTCATCCTGGACTTGATATTTGGAATTATTAGTTTGAAATCCGGCTTAAGCAAGCGTGGTGATTAATGCTCAAACCTTCTCCCTGTGAGGAGAGGCCTTTGCTTAGCAATGGGCACTTATAGGCTGATGATGTGATGAACAAAATTAAATCAATAAAGGTTATTATGTTAAAAAATAAATGTAATTTCATTTAAGATACGTTAGTGATAGCTTTCAAATTTACAACGTCTGAAAAAAGCCGTTATACTGTGCCTGTTAATTCACCCTGTATATTATCTACCTTGATGCAAATAAAGAATTTGAATTTATTACATTATCATGTATTATCTTAGTAGTTATTTAATATAAATGAGATTCAAGATCGTCAAATCAGGTGTGATACGAAGGGCAGGGGAGAAGTGCAGCGGGTCAGAGTTATACCTCCAAAATGTCCTTTTATTATACTCTTTTAACTATAGGCATAAACAAATAAAAAATCCTCTTTATATAAGAGTAGATTAGGTATTATTAAATATGAGAAACGATCCAACTTAAATTGCTTAGACCTTCTAGGAATATCTAAGGCAATCAACAGGTCTAGCGTATTTGCAAAGCGATATCTTGAAGTAGGCAACACTTTCTTGGAACTTGTAAACTTTTCCTTCCTACGCTGATTGCTTCTCCTCAAGTGATATTGTAGTACCTATTTTGTAGGAACTAATATCTAAAGAATGCTTAATATAATTTAAAATATTAAGTATAATAAAATATTAATAAAATCCATCGTAGACAGCATCATTTCTTATACCCAGGCAAAAAAATAGAGCCCTTGCTACACTACATATTTTTAATTTTTGCGTATGGTTTATTTTTGTATGTTTCAACTTATGTATGTAAAGAAAAAATATTAAAATCTCTTAAATTTTCATCCAAAGGTAAGAGTAGTAAGAGATCATCCTTTTCCTCCTCCTCCTCCTAACCCTGTAATTATGAGCACGGTTATAAGCCTGTTCTTTGTGAGTAAGCTAGTGTACAATAATGTCAGTCAGTCTAGATATTTTTGGTGTCAGGGTTGCGAAGGAACGATGTGGACTTTCAGTCCAGTTCCAAATTGTTTAACTGACAATAACTTTCAAGTCTATCCAGATCATGTTGCAGCAATGACGAATATATTACAGACAGTAGCAGTCTCCGAGATTGTGTGCATTTAAAAATGTTCATCCTTCTTCTATAGTCTGCGTAAAGTAGAAATAATACATTTTGGAAGCACATGTGAATATCGTTTAAGTAGATATTAAATAACAAGGGTCCAAGTAGAGACCCCCGGGGAACTCCTGAAGAGACTGTATGCTGCTTGGACACAGCACTATTGATTGCGAAGGAACGATGCGGACTTTCATCAGTAAAAGGCTGACACTCCATCTTGCACCGCTCAGGTAGGAAGACGTAATTTAATTATGTTCCACCTGAAAAATAAAGAATAATGTGTGTGTGTCTTGTATTTGTGCTCTGATTATATTCAGCACTCCACATAAGTTAAAACAAAGTCTCTTTCTCTGTCTCTATGTATGCTTATATATATAAAACTACGCAACGGATTTTGATACGGGTTTTTTATAAATAGAGTAATTGAAGAGGGTGGTTTACATGTTTCATTAAAATAATGAAGAAATTTAGTATCAGCATTGCATCCGTGCGTAGCCGGGGCGAGTCGCTAGTTTCAAAATAATTAACTAATTAAATTAACTATCGTATGAAAAACAAAGGCAGGTACATACAACCCTTGCTGTCAAGTAAGGCCCTTTGAAATGAAACTCAAAGGGAACTATTATCAAACAGGATTCGATGGGAATACTGCCGGTTCAATTTAACGGGAATTAGCCGACACTTGATATTTGATTCTGCCTACATTCACGACATATTGTAGGTAATTGTAGACTAGTATCAATGTATTGGGTGGCTGTAAGTACTTCCGCTATTGAAGTGTGTGGTCCTCACAATAACGACACTCGGGGGTTTCCTCCCGCTGGATCCGAAACAGGAACCATCCAAGCTGCCATGCCTGGTAAGTACCTGTGTCAGGCGGAAGGTGAGGACGTCTCTCAAGCCACTCCTCAAAGAGGGGTCTTACCACTGCTATAATAGCGTGCCCGGCTATTGAGGCGTGTTGGAATAACATAAAGCAATCTAGTTATGGTTTTCAAGCAACTGCTATGAGTGCTGTCTTAGATGAACAGCAGATAGAGCTGAATAGCCGAAGGGGATTCAGCCGGGGCAAACGCAATAAGGGGCCCAGAAGAAATGGGGTGGTTTTGAGTCGGCATGGTAGTCAAATAGGTCTCTTGAGCTGGACTATGATTCCTATCAAATAGAATGCTGAGCTGCTTAATTATTTAACAAATATGTTAAACCAATGTAGACAAGGTAGGTATAAAACGCCGGCGTGAACCAACCACAGCGTTGTGTTTCGCCGTGTGAGTGAGGTTACAGGAGGCCCAATCCTTCCTCTCCCCCAATCCCTGCGTAATCCCAAAATCTCTAAATCCCTAATCCCCAAAAGGTCGGCAACGCACTCATAACTCCCCTGCTTTTGCGGTCGTCCATGGGCGGTGCTGATTGCTTACCATCAGGTAAGAGTTAGTTTGCCGCCCTATCACATAACAAAGTTAAAAAAAATCTAAACAAAAACATACGACGGATCAATTCTTAAACATAAAATTTTTAATTCATTTATTGTCTCGAGTAAGGTGTTCATTATGCATTGCGGAAAAAGGCTTTTAAATGTCGCGCCGGTTCCGTCATAATATTAAAGCCAACAATCATGAAAACTACTCAGTAATCCATTTTTTATGAAACTTGGTAGGTTCAGGCATAAACATTACTCAGTATCTACATTTTTGAAAAAGAGTTCTGAGTGACAGCGACAGGCCTTTTTAACATTTTCCATTCAAACACAAAATCGCAAAAAACTGATTGATAAAAGAATATTTCAAGAATGTACTTAATAACATTTCTAGACCTTGATCTCTGGCGTAGGGGCAGGCCAAGTTTCATTAAAATCATTTCAATAATTTCCACTTTAATTTTTTTTATTAAACCTCCGTGCCATAAACTCTAAAAAATCTATCATTCTTTCCACTGTAGTTATCACGCCACTGGATCCTTCAGTCTCGTATTCAAAAATACATAGCAATTTATATACATATGCTGCTATATACTAGTACACAAACACGTGTTAATATATAGAACATACCACACGCGTATTTCACACTGATACGCGAAAATTCGGGTAGATCAGTTCGGTTCGCAGCTGATAAAGTAGTATATTTAGTTTCGTATGTGCGTAAGGAACTGTAGTAATTGTTAATTGGCGATAATGTAATGTGTGCCTTGTATAATAAGCTTATGTACTTAGTCGGGTCATAAGTTCTGTCACAAACTTTTGATGTAATAACTTATACGCCTTTTGACAATTATTTAAAAATTATATATGAAATGAAAGGTCATTAAATGTACAATATAATTTTATTTACATTATTCGAAATGCCCTCCCCCATTTTGAACACATGCCCTTAATCTACGCGGCCAGTCATCGATCGCTGCACGCACCACATTCATATCTATGTCTGCCGCTGCTTTAACCAGAGATGCTCGGAGAGACTCCAAATTCGGGTGAGGTTTAGCACAGACTTTTTCCTCCAAATATTGCCATATCTTGTAGTCCAGTGGGTTTAAATCTGGACTAGAAGAGGGCCAGTCTTCATGCCGGATGAAGTCAATTCCACGAGCGATCAACCAGTCTTGCGTACTTCGTGCCTTATGAGCCGGTGCAGAGTCCTGTTGGAATATCCAATGCCTGTTCCTGAACATTGTCTGAGAAAGAGGTTCCACTATGTTTGTTAGGACAGTATTTTGATAAACTTCGGCACTAGTTCTCACACCTTTTTCACAGAAAAACACCTCAGTTACGCCTGAATATGAGACTCCAAGCCAAACCATGAATGAGGAAGGGTAATGCCCACGCTGGACCCTCGCAATACGCGCGCTTGCTTCTTCACTGCTGTGGGCATACACCTTATCATTTTGTTTGTTAAAACTTTCTTCAATAGTAAAAATTTTTTCATCCGAAAAAAGAATTTCGCGGTATTTTTTTCCCGCGTACCGTCGTAGCAAAGCGCGGGATCTGTCTAGCCTAATTTTTTTTAAACGCTCGTTCAAAAAATGTCCTGTCTTTTTACGATAAGCTCGTAGTCCCAGGTCTTCATTTAGTACTCTTTTAACAGTGGTTCTGCTTAGCCCCATCTGCAGAGCTAGGATTTTTTGTTTACGTACGGGATTTCGTTCGATTCGCGCCTTCACTGCTTTGATGACCTTATGTGTCCGAACTGTGCGAGGTCGGCCGCTTCTCTTACGATCTTCGAAGCTTGACTCTTCGGTGTATCGTTTGATAGTACGATAAACAAACCGTAACGTTATTTTCAAATTTTGAAGAATATTGAAAATGTCTTTTGGCGCGTAACCACAGCGGTGCAACGCGATAACCGCGATTCTGTCTTCTTTATTCGACCACTCCATATTTAAAAATGAATAAAAAATAATTTCTTTTTTATTTTCTACAAGCGCGAAAGTTCTATTTTTAAAATAAGTCGAAGAATTTCTGGCCAGTAATCGAAAATTAAAAATATAAGGTTTTGACAGAACTTATGACCCGACTAAGTATATTTCGGACATATTGAGGTGGCCCGGAGGTTAAGGCGCCAGGTTTTTATGTATGAGTGATCAAAACCTGGCAATTGGCAAGTACAAATGTGACTTTTTCCTATTTTCTATGATTGTTTAGGCACCACTGACGTCTGGTGAAGGCAAACATCGTGATACCTGGTCTTATGATTTCTAATTATAAGTTTGAAATCACCAATCTGCCTTGAGAAGGCCGCCTTAATGCTCAAGGCCAAAATTATAAGGCAGAACCAAAATTGTGCATAAATCTCTTTACAAATCACGGGACCACATGACATTTGGGAGGCGTACGAGAGGCCAAAGTCTACTGCACAGAGGGCATATATATGTAGATACCTTTAATATAATTGAAATGGGACACATTATTTGTATTATTATTTCCAAGATTTTGTTAGTGGAATAATCTATTAGGAGTTCTTGTGACTTGAATTGCTTTACCTTAATTAGCATTGAAATCAAATAAAGATAATTGACTGATCTTTTCCTTCATTTCTATTTTTTTCAGCGATATGTTGTGATGTTATTAGCGATTCACTTTTTTTATAAACACTATAATTAGATAACGGGTAACTAACACAATTACACATTTTCTCACCAGGGCATCGAATCTAGAACTTCACACTAGGACGTCCTGAATGTAAAACCACGCAGCCGCGTAGCCACGTAGCTATAAAATAAACAAAAAATTATAGACACCAAAATATTATTACAATTACAGTGCAAATGATACCAGCACAGAGTATAAAAGATTGAACATTGTGTGTTGTCACGATATTCCCCCAGGGGGCGCTAACTACACTACCATAGAATGTCTCGCTATAATAACAAAAAAACGATAAAAACTGACGCAATTTTTTTTTTACAAAAATAAACACAGTCCCTTGTTTTTACAACGTTTTTATGTGGTCTCGGTATTAAATATACCTACTATTATTTTTATGTTCACACATCATCAGCCTATGAGTGCCCACAGCTGAGCAAAGGCTACTTCACACACGAAGAAGGTTTGAGCATTAATTACCACGCTTGCTCAAAGTGGATTGGCTATTTCAAACTTATGATTGGTCTAGGTTAGGCTAGGTAAGTAGTAAGTCTAGGGTTTTTCACAATGTTTTCCTTCCCCGCATGTCAGTAATGTCTAAATAATCATAGAAAGTACATGTTAACTCGGCAATAGTCACATTGGTACTTGCCAGGATTTGAACCCCGTCAGGGGAAAATCATCAAATGGCTTCTCCCGCTCAGGGTTAGGCGAGAGAGAGTGTCAGACACTTACTGACTAAAAAACCCCCCCGTTCCTTCTCCTGCTCTGGGCCGAGGCCGCGATGACTCATTGCGCTTTACCCGCAACCAACCCTGTCATGGGGTTGCGATGAATGTTTCGGCGATATGCCACTCCAACACGTACATGGATAAATGAGGAACTCCGGGTAGGTTTTTAGTCAGTAAGAGTCTGACAGTTACCCTTCGCCCTTTCCCGGGGGCGGTGAGTCTCCATAAAGATTATCCATCCCTATATAAAAAAAACCCACATGGAAACCGGGCTCCTTAACCTCCGGGCTACCATGACAAACAATTTTTTTATGTTACTTAATTACTTTCTTTTACTTTTGGGTGTTAGAAAAAATATCCGCAAAAGTTTTTGCTTCTCAATAGTAAATTTCTTCTGAACAATGTTAAACTGAAGCATTGAAACGGCAACAAAACCGAAAACATGAAAGAAAAACCAATTAAAAAAAAAACAATAAGCAGAAAGCCGATTTAAGTTATTAACATTTTCCTTAACAAGAAAACCTGTAGAAACAATGAAAATGATTAAGTATCGGCCCTGATTTTTATGAAATACACACAATTTGGTTAGAAATAAATTGTCAAAAGGTATGCATTCAACTCTCCCAAAATTGTAGAGTTGTAGAGTCGTATGGCATATCGTTTAAAAGGCAAAACATATTCCGTAGATGAAAAAAGAGCGGTTACTAAGTGACGTCACCAATTGATCACGCTCTCAAGCTATCAGCATACTATTAGGATTAGCATATTAATGGAACAACAGTATTAAAAGTGTGTTATAGTCTTATATGAAAACGTGTGCTATGGCGGTATGGCGGTTCGGTGGTATGGCGGTTATGCAAACGTTTTTCGCTTGGGCGGTGGCGAGGCGATGGGCGGGCGGGGATACTTCGCCGGAGTTGCCAGTTCTCATGCACCCGCGGCCGGAGGTGCACGTCGCGTCGCTCTAGCCTGCCACCTCGACGTCGCCGACTCCGCCGAGCTCTAGAGCCCCCCTGCCCCCCGCCGGGCGACCTCCGCATGGCGACAGAGGGGAACGCGGAAAGTCACAACAGTACACAGTGAATGGACATCGTGATTGTCGAAAATTGACGTTTCACGAAAACTAGAGTTGTGTGAGATTATTGTGTGTATTATTTTGTGTTGTGTGTGTATTAGGTAAGTGCTCGTTTTTTATATTTTTTCTTATGATATTACGCGTAAAATTTTTTCTTGATGTGTGTTTCTGAAGTCAGCTGATTGTTCTGATCTGAAGTTTGAAAATTTGCGTTTTTCTTTTCATTTCATCGAATTACCGAGTGGCTAATTATTTGTTCGGTACTGAAGCGTGTTCTTTTGATAATCCGACAAAAATTGGGCCTTGTTATTGGAATTACCATAATTGGAAGCTTTTCTTGTGTTTTCAAGAAAATCCGAGGAACCTTTCGCTCCAGTGTAATCCCGCCAAAATTAATCCGAATCTTATGACACTGTTGTTGTACTGTGCAACAAGCATATTGGGTACACGCTCTTAATATTTTGTCAACTATGTAATTTGTGTAAAACCGTAGCAAACTGTGTTATCTGGGTGATAATTTATTACAATGTTCGCGGAAAATATATTACATGCGATATCATTGTTCCAACCTGATTTTCATGATGAAAATGAAAGTGGATGGAGTATATATGTATCATAAAATTTTTTAGATAGTGAAAAATTTAGCTTTACTAACTAAAATATTAACTTTAACAGTAAATGCACATTGGTTTCGGGAAAATGGCGTTTTTCCAACGACTCGGTTATTGAACTTTGCAACCAAACTATGCGGGTTTGGTTGCCGATTGTTGTTCTGTTATTTATTACTAGACATCTATGTAGATATCCACCCTGTTTTCGACATGAATTGCAGGCTACAATTATCTAATAATAATTATGTGAACGTTATTTATCTCTTAGTATTTGAGCAAGAAATCTACAAATGCATGTGGTAAGATTACTCAATAAAACAAATAGTCAATAACTAACAAATTACAAGTAATTGTGCAGCTTTTTTATATTAAATGCTGCTGTTTACTCTATTGCGAACTGCGAATATTCGAATTCGCTCTATAAAAAAATAAAAGGCTATCCTCTTGAAATACATAGCACCTTTCGCGGATTAAATGGTCATTTTATTTAATCATTTACGTATTTATTAGACTAGTACAGTTCAGTACCAATTACACTACTCAATTCTTAGGTATAATAATATAAATAATATAGGCACGTATGTAAAAGAAAAAAAAAACAAAATGTATACTTACAATATTATTGTTCTACTAGCTACTCTCGCGCGATTTCATCCGCTTCTCGTCTCCTTTTAATGTGAGATTTCATGTAATGTTTTATAGCCTATAGCACTCAGGAACATTGTAGCTATCTATCAGTGAAATAATTTTGGAAATCCGACCAGCAGTTCCAAATATTACTCCCTACATACAAACTTACAAATTTTACCTTTTTATAATATTAGTATAGATTCACTCATATTTAAAATAAATATTAAATCAAATAAATAAATAAATATTAAATCAAATAAAATACGTTATGTGTCAAATACTGCTGTGATAAAGAAGAAAATAGAAGATAGGAGGAATGGGATAAATTGACATGCCCCATCAACTATACGATTTGGGACTGAGATTGATTATGGCCCATATCGTATCATAATATGTCAAGTTTTTTCGTCGAATTAGAGTTAGGGATGACAGATAATAAAAGGAACTCTACCGAGCCAAAAAAAAAAGACTAAAAATCTCTTTGGATAAAGTGTTTGAACGTGCCAATCTCCGAAACTGCTAAACAAATTAGAATACAACTTTAAGAGATTTAAATACTTGATAGCCTAATTCTTAGGAAGGTTGCGTTAGGTTAGTAAGGTTATCAACCAATACGACGACGTACCAGTTAAAAACTAATGCAATTACTATGTAGTTAAAAATAAACAGTATCTTTGAATTCCTTACATATTATTAGTAGACGTTTATCTTAAAACATTTGTCGGTTTAATCTTAGTGTGGAATGTACAGCACTTAACAGTTTAAAAGTTTAAGGCTCGGCTTGTACAATCGGTAATGTAAACGACGAAGTTTCTAAATATTTATTGTAAGTGCCTCTACTTGTATCATTAAGGTATGTGCCTTTAAAGTATGCGTAAGAACTGGCTGGACTCCTAGCGTAGATCGTAGTTCCAAAAGTTCTGCCAAGACACGCAAAACTATTGCTAAGATAATCAGTTTTGGAATTTCTATTTTGGTAAACTTAATGTTCAAGGGACCAGTGTCAGTTGTTTTGCGAATTGGCGCCCTCGATTTTGCCCATTTGCTTGGTTTTGTTTTGTTTTAAAACTTTGCTATGGTGGAGAGTCTAGAGAATGAGTTGAAGCGTATCAATTCAACAAATTCTGGAGACAATTCGAAACTCAATTTTGTATTGTATGTACTAAAGTACTTATTTAGTTAGATATAAATAAATGGAAAGAAAGAATCGTCACTAAACAATTCTAAGGGCCCTTTTAAAAACCTTTCAAAGTTTTTTAAGTCTCGTAAGTAATTTATTCTCGACAAGTTACTCGGACATTTTTAACTGAAGGGGTAAAGGCACTTAACCTTCCGTTTTTAGATTAAACTTCACTTCACAATAGGAGGAGAGGAAGAGGAAAACTGGATTATACCGTTTATCCATTGTTTTTGTTAGGTAAATATAATTTACAATTTATAATTTACAACATATATTATAATTATAATTACATTGGTATTAACGCGAATAATAATGAATCAAATTAAGTGTGGGAGAGCCATGCTTCGGCACGAATAGTTCGGCTCGACCGGAGTGATACCACGGCCTCACAGAAATCGGCGTGAAACAACCACAGCGTTGTGTTTCGCCGTGTGAGTGAAGTTACCGGAGGCCCAATCCTTCCTCTCCCCCGATCCCTCCCCAATCCCTTAATCCCCAAAACCCTAATCCCTAAGAGGTAGGTAACGCACTCGTAACTCCTCCGTTGCGGGTGTCCATGGGCGGCGCTGATTGCTTACCATCAGGTAATCCGTCTGCTCGTTTATCGATCTATTACATAAAAAAAATTCTTTATACTTTACCTTTGTAGGCTTGACGTTTCGACCTGGTTACACAGATCGTGGTTGCAAGCAAACTGTATAAGTGAATAGATTTTTGTATTTTAAGTGTGGTAGAGCCAAGCTTCGGCGCGTTTGGTTCAGCCTGATACCACGGCTTCACATAAAATCGGCGTGAAACAACCACAGCGTTGTGTTTCGCCGTGTGAGTGTGTTGCACGGCGGGTGGAGGTCCCGATTGCTTCCCATCAGGTAATCTGTCTACTCATTTATAAATGACATGGTAATATAGGTAAAAAAGATAAAAAAGTGCTGGCTCGGTCGCGTAGAAATTGAGATAAAGAAGATAATGATTTATCATAAGCTTTTGTCTTTATCTAATTTATTAGTATTAATGGCTTTCTTTAGAAAATTAAGGTAAGGAAAATGGGTCGTCTAATAAAAATGGAATCGTTTTCACTTTTATTAAAACTGTATGTCTTACTGTGGCTTTGGCCGCACAATAATAAAGATTTCGTCAAGCCATTTAATATAAAGGTAATCTACTAGTATTATAAATTATCCGAGTCCGAGTCATATGTACTTTCTAAGATTATATACACACCTCTGACAAAGGGTCAGGAAACCTGGATTTATAATAATTTTATTTATAAATTTGAAATCGCCAATCCAGCTAGAGCAAGCGTGGTGGCTAATGCTCAAACCTTCTCCGTGTGAGAGGAGGTCTTTGCTCAGCAGTGGGCACTTATAGACTGATGATGATGATGGTTACTTTATGTGGAAGTTTGTGAAAATTTATGAATGTATCTTTGTTCTTCCTTCACACAAAACGGCTGTACCAATTTGGTATTAATTTAAATTCAATCAAAGACGGTTCATCAGTTTAGATCACAAACGTAACTATACCTTACATCATGTCTATCTCTAAATACATCGACATAGATTAAGCAGTTTCGGCGATAAATGCGTACAAAACAAACAATCACACATTTAATTAGATACTAAATAATAAATATTTACTTAAATATTTATACAAATTAAATAAATAGATAAGTTTTTACATAATACTTATAACGGATGATCTTGATGACCCATTCATATTATTATGACATTTATTTAAATGAGTATCCATCCATACTTGAGTTTACCCTTGAACTGTGAACAACAAAAGATCAAGTAGCTACTTAATAAATTCACTTATGTGTACATAGACATATTTATCCCATTATTAGAGGTCGTTGACCTTATAAATATTGTATCTAAGAACTTTTTGTCTCGAGATATGAGAGCGTTTGTATAAAGTGCTTATGGTTCCGTCCATAGGACTGAAGTGAAAGTGTCGGACTGTACCGAAATCACGTCACGGAAGCCCTATTAAAGATATACTTTACTAGAGACCCGGCTTTGTACTGGTGCAATCATCATCATCATTATCATCAGCCTTTTGTCGTCCACTGCTGGACATAGGCCTCCCCAATTATTAATTTTATTCAAAACTGGTGCAATGTTAATACTTAATTACTCCCCTGTTTAATGGATGTTATTATACATGTGCACATTTCTCTTCAATCACTCTAACTATTAAAAAAACCAGATCAACATTTCTTGCGTACTTTAAAAAATTAAGCGATATAGAGACAGAGAATGCGACTTTCTTTTGTACTATGAAGTGATGATTTTGATTTTCGCCTTTATTTATGGCTGTAATGGTAATGGAAATATATCATCGAGGTTCCAATTTCTACTTTCTAGCTATCATGGTATATGAGATACAGCCTGGGGACCAACAGACGGATGGACAGTGGATTCTTGGTAATACTATTCTCATTTAACACCATTTGGGTACAGTAACCAGAAAAGAATAATTCGGTTTTTATTTTTTTTAAGTTTTAG